CTGAACACTTCAAGGCTCAGTTCAACTGGCCCCCATCGACACCTTATCTTTCACTCTCCGCCTCGATTGGACAAATACTCCCATTTGATGCTAGTCGTACACCTGAAATGGAGGTTTCTCGGGCCTCTGACCCAGATGGGCTGTTCCCATCAGCGTTTAAGGATGGAGACTCAGCGTTAGTCTTGGAGATGACAAAACTCCTGGGTTCAATGTGGGAAAGAGAGGAGGTTCCAGCTGAATAGTGTGAGTCGGTGATCATACCGATTTACGAGAAAGGTGATAGATCCTCTTGTGAAAACCACAGAGGAACCAGTTTAATCAACATTGCCTCTAAACTTCTCGCTAGCACCATACTCCGTCGATTGTCTGCCGCACGCGGATTGTGCACGCGTGAGAACCAGGCTGGTCTTGGGCCCCGGTCGAGGTTGTATCGACCACATCTTCCCACGCGTGAGAACCAGGCTGGTTTTAGACCCGGTCGAGGTTGTATCGACCACATCTTCGCCGTGAGAACCAGGCTGGGTTTAGACCCGGTCAAGGTTGTATCGACCACATCTTCACTCTGCACCAAATTCTGGAGCACCGGCATTCTTTTCGTAGACCCACCATCTCTGTCTTCCTAGATCTGAAAGCGGCTTTTCACGCGTGAGAACCAGGCTGGTTTTAGACCCGGTCGAGGTTGTATCGACCACATCTTCGCCGTGAGAACCAGGCTGGGTTTAGACCCGGTCAAGGTTGTATCGACCACATCTTCACTCTGCACCAAATTCTGGAGCACCGACATTCTTTTCGTAGACCCACCATCTCTGTCTTCCTAGATCTGAAGGCGGCTTTCGACTCAGTCGACCGCTCTAAACTCTGGCGCTGCCTTTTTCTGAAAGGTGTACCCGAGAAGTTAATTTCAATATTACGATCGCTTTATACTAATAGCCGAAGTTGAGTCCGGGCTTGCGGCACTTTTTCTCCCGAGTTCACCACGGAAAGGGGTGTTTATTAGGGTCGCCGTCTCTCTCCTTTTCTATTCATCTTTGTTATAGATCTGATTATGGAAACAGCCCTATCCTCAAACGAGGTAAGTAGTATCGATTTACTCCCAGAGGGCAGACTGTCTAATCTAGAGTATGCAGACAACATTGTGCCATTAAGTTGAAGATCCAGGTAAGGTAAGGATAGGTGTCTAGGGTTGAGGCTGGTCACCCTTCCTTTGCACCTCGCGAAATGCCCCAGTACAACCATACGTTTCGAAAATCCTCTTCTGAGGAAGCCCTTCTCGCTGCTTTCTGGTGGCGAAGGTGTTTTCCCAGCAAAATGAGAGGACAAAAAGCAGATACCCGGGACTATAACCAGGTCGGCCAACCACTGGTAGTTCACCTAGGGGAGTTGGCATCATCATCATCATCGTACAGCAAAACTCAGTGAGGCGAACTTCGCTGATCGCTGCCTAACTCGCAATGCATACAAGGTTAGTGGTAAAATTTAAGTTGGCAAAGGATTCGATCTATTTTGAGGGTGGGAGAAAAAGGTAAGCCACTATGGTCAACACACAGCAATCGAACTCTGCATACATACCGTTTCAAGCATTCTGACCTGATAAGAAACTACAACAAGAACGCCAATGCTGCCGGTTCGCCGCCATATCCTTCAATGTCTCCAACCAGTTTCAGTTTCAGTTTTTACAACCATTAACCATACACTTTCGTGCGCCGGTTTTGGTTGCTGTCTTTTGGTTGCCCATTTGGATAAAAGAGCGAAATAAAGATTGGAATGTCGAAGCAGATTCAAGCGGAAAATGGGTAATACATATAGAGTGGTGTTAGAAAAATAACGAGTGGATGCACGAGCGCCACTGTTTGCGACACCCAGCCATATCACTCACTGTCTCTGACCATCGGTTACGATCATCCCGAGGTCCCCAGCCAGGGAGCCTAACAGGACCTATGTGACCTTCGGTTACGATCATCCCGAGGTCCCCAGCCAGGGAGCCTAACAGGACCTATGTGACCCAGTTACCTGCTTAGGGTTTTCATATGACCTCCCGAGGTCCCCAGCCAGGGAGCCTAACGGGGCCTATGTGACCTAGTCTCTTGGTTAGGATTTTCATACCCTCGTGCCAGGTCTTAGCTTGACCGCCCTTCGCTTTTTTCCAATCGCTACGAACCTCGGCAAACATCGTTCGCCGTGGCAACCCATCTGGTGACATGCCCTCATGAGCTGCGCCCAACCGAACGGGGCCTTATGTGGTTCGCCGCTCTAATTCCCGGGGCTTGGGTTGCCAGTTTCCATAAATAAACAATAGGTCCTTGTGACTATGGATTTTACCCCGTCTTCTGTTCACCACATTTAGGTGTGTAATAAAGCATACGAGAGACCTCGGGGTGGGGTTTACTCTCGTGAAAAGGGCTCCACTGCGCGATCGTCTAAAACCGTCCACGTTCTCATTACATTTTCCCGTTCTTTTCTTTTTCTTTTTCATTTTACTTCCTTTTATTGAATATACAAAGATACAATTTTCAGGAAGGGGGAAG